TGTGAGTTGGCGTGAGGCCCCTGGCAGGTGGCCTCAGAAAGAGGAAGACTATAGACTCTAAAGGAACCATGCTGGGTATGGGCGCACCCCTGTAATCCTAGCACTCAGAGGCTGAGGCAGGAGGATTGCTGTGAGTTCAAGGCCAGCCTGGGCTGCATGGTGAGACTGTTTCAAGATAAAATAAAAAAGAAAAGAAAAAAAAAAGGAACCACTACAATCTCCAAATGAAGAGCCGCAGCTAACAAACCTACAAAGATAGAATGGAGTCATTAAAAATTACTGATTGGGCCGGGGATTTAGCTCAGCAATTCCACCGCCTGCCTCGCAAGCACAAGGTCACAAGTTCGATCCCCAGTACCAAAAAAATAAGTACTTGATTAAACTGAGCATGGTGGTGAATCCCTGAAATCCCAGCACTTAAGAGGCTGAGGCAGGGGGATTGCAAGTTTCAGCCCACCAAGAGACTTTAAAATAAATAACAATAATAATACTGGCCAAGGATTTAGCTCACTGGCATGGCACTTGCCTGGAAAAATGTGAGGTCCTGAGTTCAATCCTAGTATAAAAAATACCCCATCCCCCAAAAAATACTAATGTAGCTCAGTGGGTAGACCTTGAGTTTCAAAAACAAAACAAAAAAAAAACTTACCTTTCACCAACCTCTTTCAGCTCAAAGATATGACTTTCCTTTCCATTCTCTAAAGACAGGGTCTCACTATGTAGTGCAGGCTAGCCTTGAACTCACAGCAATCTTCATGTCTCAGCCTCCTGAGTGCTGGCATTATTATAGATACATGCCACCAGACCTGGCGCTAGCAACATCTTTTTACAGTTAGGTGCTCTGTGAGGTGGATGTCCAGAATATATATCCTTGGAAGCAGATTGCTGGGAATAAAGGCAAAAACAGAGCATGGGGTTGCATACCTTTCAGCCCAGCTACGTGGAAGGCTGAGGCAGGAAGATTGCAAGTTCAAGGCAAGCCTGGGCAACTCAGTGAGATTGTGTTTCAAGATAAAATAAAAAGGATTGGGATGTAGCTCAGTGATAAAACACTTGCCTAGTATGTGTAAGCCCCTGGGTTCAAATCCCTAGGACTGCAAAAAGCAAAGAACCCCCAAAAGTAAATGTCACACCCTGCCACATCAGCAGGAGAGGCTGTTACACATCACCGTGTCCCAGCCTTTGGTTCCAGGAAGTCCAGGTACACCTGTGCCGCTTCTGGGTCTGAGGAACACAGGCTACAGTATTTCTGCCCCCAGACTCAGGGCAGTATTACTGCTCCTCAGACTGATGCCCAGCAACCACCCCAACTCCTGGCAGCCACCTTCCCCTTAAAAACCTCCCCTTTCCCCTTGCTCATTGCTGACACACTTTTCAGACTCACCCCACTTACACCCCAGTGAAATGAACAGCCAAACTGGAGTCACAAATCCTCTCCAGATGGGCTCTCTCCCCTCTGCACCTTTGATACAGTAAACACACATCTTTGCTGTCAATTTTTTCTCCTTGGAGGCTGTACGCTTGCCCGATGGGGGTGTGTGTGTGGCACGGGAAGGATTCATTCCAGGTTCTTGGTATCCTGAACTAACAGTTGGACAGGACACACCGAAAAGGTGGCAAAGGTGTACATTTATTAAAGATTGAAAAGAAGTAAGTGCCACAGGTTAAAACTGGGAGTGGTGGTCCATACCTGTAACCCCAGCATTTGGGAGGCTGAGGCAGGAGGATCAAGGAAGGGTTGAGGCCAACCTGGGCTACAGAGTGAGTTCAAGGCCACCCTGTACCGCATAGCGAGACCCTGCCTAAAAATAAATAAATGAAAACAAATAAAATTTTAAAAGCTCTGCAAGGCAAGAGAGGGCTGGTGCACCTGGAGGATAAGTGAAAAGGGTCTTTGGTAACCAAAGTTCCTGGATGAGCTTCTCCCTCATGCAAATAAGGGACTCGGACATTTATCCTATCAAAAATTCACTCGGCCCGGCACCAGATTGAAACGGTCCTGTGGAAAGACTCACTTGGCTTCCCCACAGATGCAAATGAAGAATTGGAGAGTGAAGAATTTTCTGATTGGTTCTGCCAACAGCGCAGGATTCAAATGAGGGATTTGAAAATACTGCTTTCTGATTGGCTGCAGGTACGGGGCTCCGGAGCTCGGTGGTAGTTTTGGACCCTGTGTTCTGCGCATGTCTGCTGGGTTCTTACTCCCTCCGAGGGGTTCTGCGTCCAGTTGCCCCTGCCCTCATCTCCCTCCTCAGGGGCACCAGCAACGCACTGGAGCCTCTTCTCTGGCATATGAGGTTTTGCCAATTTCATAGGTTTCCTTCTCCTTTTCCATCCTAGAGATCCGGCCCAGGACCTCAGCCAGGCCACACGGGCCCCCTGCTGCTGGGCTGCCCCCACCTCTGAGGTGACATTTTTATTACAAGTAACTGTGAGCACCTTTCCAAAAAGTTAGGGTCCACCTGTTTGTCTTTTCTCTGTAAACTATCTGTTCTTTTGTGCACTGGAAACAAATTGGGATTTTGGTCTCCCCCACCCCATCATCAAGCCCCCGGCCAGGAAGGCGGCGGAACCACTGAGCCAAATCCCCGGCTCCTTCATCAATTTCTAAAAGTCCTTTATGTATTAAGGAGACAAGAATCACGTGTAAGATGTAAATTGTAAATGACTTCTCCAAGATTGTCCCAGCTTTTATTTTGCTACAGCCTCATCCTATCCTTTTTCCTTCCCTTTCCTTTTCTGTAATGGGAATTGAAACCAGAGGGAATAGACTGAGCTGCATTCCAGGCCTTTTTAAATTTTAGTTTTTGAGACAGGGTCTTGCTAAGTCATTAAGGTGCCCAGCCTCCCAGAGTGCTGGGATTTCAGGCATGTGCCATCACACTTAATTGGCATTAACATTTCTTCAACGACTTCTAATTCTGTTTCAATAGATTTATTTATAAATTGGTACAGGGCAGCCTTGAACACGCTATGTAGCCCAGGCTGGCATCAAACTCATGGTGATCCTCCTGCCTCAGCCTCCCAAGTGCTGAGATTACAAGTGTGCATCACCACACCCAGCTCCTCCAGCATCTTATTCTGAACCATTTCAAACTTACAGAAAGGCTGAAAAAACTTACACAATTCTACCACCACCCTCTGACCTCCCTGATTTACTAATCACTGATTTGTCTACCTTCCCTATGCCTTTCAAAGTGCATCACACAGTTACTATCCCAATAACTCAGTCTATGATGGTTAAACTGCAGTTCAGTGTCTATTAGTGGTTCCTTCTGTTGTTATTTTAAATTTTCAATATTTAGATATTTCCTACTCTCTGGCCAGGGATTTAGCTCAGTGGTTCCACTGCCTGCCTTGCAAGCGCAAGGACTCAAGTTGGATCCCCAGCACAAAACAAACACCCAAAAAACACTTAGATTTTTCCTACTTCCAAGATAGAAAATAAAGCCCAGCATGGTGATGCACACCTGTGATGTCAGCACTCAGGAGGCTGAGGCAGGAGAATCACTGTGAGTTCAAGGCCAGCCTGGGCTACATAGCAAGGCTCTTTCTGCAAAAACCAAAAAAATTGGAAAAAAAAATTCACTCCTGTGTCCCAGCAATTGTTTCCCTTGCTATCTGGAAGGGTGCTGATTCATTTCAAGTGTATGTTGTGCATGATATAGGAAAGGAAGGAATACAATTTTTACACATTGAGGGACTCCATTTTAAAATTATTATTATTGAGATATCATCCACATAAGATTCACCCTTTTAATGTATACAATTCATGAATTTTCAGTATATTCGCTAAGGTATGCAACCACCACTACAATTTCACTTTTTAAAAACTTTAAAATTTCACCTGCCAGGGATTTAGCTCAGGGGCCCTGCACCTGTCTTGTAAGCGCAAGGTCCTGAGTTCGATCCCCGATACCGAAAAGAAAAAAAAATTAAAAATATCACCAAATGGCCGTCTGGCTGCTCACAGCACATATTAAAAACTGCACCTTTCTGTCCGAGGTGAGTGAGGCGGTCGCCGTCCTCGATCAGCGTGCAGGGTTCTAGCAGCCTGCTTGTCTCTGTTCCGACGCGAGCCCCTCCGGACGGCCTCTTCACTTAGACTTCGATGTCACGGGCCGAAGAGAGGAGGAAAGTCTGGCCTCTCTTTGCTTAGCCAGGAACCGGACCGCCCAGCGACTGTGGGAGAGCCACTTGGGCAGGAGGAAGCGCAGCAGGCAGCTCTGGCCGAGAGAGGCGAAGTCAGCTCGGCCTCCGCCTCCCGC